AGCACAGGCCTACAGTTTTAATATTTAGCTTAACCTTGAACTTGTCAATTTTACCTACGAACGACCTCCCCTCGAATGAGCTGTCAAAGCCCGCCTGTCAACTCGTGAAGTTTTCGCGCAAAAACACGCTATAGACGGAAGTTAAAACATGAATATCGGTCGGAGACCGGAGACTTATCGATCGAAACTGCGGTTTCGATTCTTGACTCTATTCTTGACACCGCGTGTCCCATCACTATTTAATTAATAACTCGCTTATTATACGACATAATTCATCCAAAATCAATAAGCTTCTGGTCCGAGATATGATGAAGGCACATGCAAAATTTGGAGCAGATTCATCCAACAGACAGACAGACGGACAAACAGACAAATACCTATCAACATACTTATCGATCTTTAGACAACAACGTGCTTTATTTTTTTATCCCAGAGAATTACAATCATAAATGTGACATGTGTAAATTTGTGAACACTATCTCGATTACCCTTGACTAAGCATTTGGTTCCTGCGCTCATGTTATGTGTACTAATAACAGTATATATTTTCGGCGACGTGTCATAACATTTCGGATTTTCTTTCCTAGGTATCGCTGCTTTACTTATTATGCCAAATAATTACAATTATAAATGTGACATGTGTATATTTGTGAACACACTCTCGATTACCCTTGCTAAGCCTTTATTCCCAGCGCTCATGTTATGTGTACTAATAACAGTACATATTTTCGGCAACCTGTCATAACAATTCGGGATTTCCTTTGCTATAGTTTTAGCTTTTGGTGATATTTTTTTCTCTCTTTATAAGCTATAAAATTTCCCAAATATTTGAAGGTTAGTTAGTTCGAATCAATTTTTGTGAAGGTAGTTTTCGTGTTTGTATTCATCACTTAGAACAGAGGATTTATCGAATGCGTCTTGTAGCAACACGGGAAAGTTTTGTATAAAAGAATACGCTTCAGCGTTTTTTGTATCATCATAGCCATTTAAAAAAACTTCACACTAAAAATTCCAATTTTACAACCATTCAATTTTTCAGCGAATTTTTGAGTATGACACTAATTTCCTCTTGCCAGAAATCCTGGAAAGTTGGGGTCGTATTGTAAAAAGTTAACGACCTGTGATAAAATGGAAAATTTTTGTATAAAGAAGTCTTGCGTTTCAGTTTTGACAGTCGAGAAATTTGAACTTTTTGACTGTGCTCGCTTGAGCTCATACTCACTAAAAAAATTCGCTGAAATTCGCTGTTATGTATAAATATAAAAAAAAAACGCTAGTATAAGCATTCGCTACAAAAACTTGAGTTTGAAATAAATCGGGTTTTCTGACGAAGCACAGAGCCTGCTTCGTCAGAAAACCCGATTTATTTTAAACTCAAGTTTTTGTAGCGAATGCTTATACTAGCGGTTCCCAACTTTTTTCGTTAAATTCCCTTCCCGGTCATTTTGGAAATGTTTATACTTTCCTCACTTTGCATAAAAAGTACTTTATTCATCCAATCTTTAATGGATACGTCGCCAATGATATTCGCAACCCTGCACGGTTTAAGTAGTTTATAATGTGCGCATAAATAACTAATATTGTGATAATTGGAAAAAACTAAAGAATAGTAGTAATACTACCGCAAATACAAAAAATACCGAAAATTTTCCCCCAGGAATGACAAAATTCCACCCCGGTTGTCAAACGTACGCCAATTTTTGCAAGCCGTTAATCCTGAACTAGACCTAGGCCTGGAATGTCACGGTCGCTTCGAAAGTGGCGTGAGGTTATTGTTATTGTGACGTAAGAATGGCGTGATTTGTATTAATGAATTTAGAAATTGTGTAAATCAGTCAGTTGTCGCCGATGAAAATGTGCGGTTCTTGGCTTTGCTTCTGTGGATGCCGGTCTGGAGAAAACTTGTCGTAAGCATGTTTTTGTACTAGTTGATTAAATACTTTTACAGGCAGTTGGGCAGCTAGTTTTTGTAATGAAATCTATAGACCTGAAAGTCTCGTTTTGTCGTTCAGTAACCGCTTACAGGTCAGGCTTGCAGGTTTTCGGTAAATAACACTCGCCTCTCCGTCAGTTTTCACATGCAATCCTTTTTTTGTGCATTTTACTGACATGGTATCATATTACAAGTGCGAATGTATCAAACTTATGCAATCAATGTACCTGGAATATTGTTGATGATATTCTGTGACCATATTATTATATTGATGTCGCTCGTTTATAGGTCTCTCGTTGACCTAAAATGGGACATCTTTGAACTCGTCCTCGAATCGCCTTTTGACCTCTATGCAGTGTGTTCCCCAGCGTTTTCTTTTTTGGTGGGTGTTTCCAAATTTAGGGGGTGGTAGATATTTTGTTATTAGTGATAAAACTATTTGTAACTTATAAAAATGTGTTATAAATATACCGAAATAAATGCCTCCAAATTGGTTCGCTTTCAATGAAAATGTGCAAACAATTTCGCTATTATATGCCATTATTTAGCTGGTAAGGTAAGTAATGTAACTGGTACGGTGATTTCCCTGCACCCACTCCCACTAAAATTTTTAAGACCTCCCTAATTTTTGGTGTGACACCGTACTTCAATTCTTAACGTGAATAAAATTGTATTTGAAGGTTTCGAAAACGCCTTGGCTTACACAGACGGTCCTCGAACTCGTAATTGAACTTATCGGAATAAAATTATGGCCTAACCCTAACCTGGTACAGACACCTACGAGAGTACCAAATAAGATGTACAGGTTAATAAAATGTTAAATTTTGCTTTCCATTTTAAAGTTGAACAAACATCGACCCTGGTCTTCCTCGTACGGTACTTTTCCATGTGACTGATTGTTGAGAAACGACTTTCATAAACGGGAGAATAAAACCACAAAAGAACCACGAGCATAGGATTATCTATTTGATATCTTTAGAATAGAAATCCGATAGAATAGCTCACGTTTGTTTTGGTGACCACAATTATGGGGAAGACCGTTTTCAGCGCCGGTATTGTGTTGTAGATATTTATAAAGCGAACAAGAGTGTGTAAACATGATGCCTTCCATTATTTTCTTACGCTTTACGTGGTTTGCGTGGTTTTCACGAACGATGTCATTGCGCAATATTATTATTGTTACGCGACAAAGTTGATTTTTAATACCTTGTGACTTGAATTCTTCAGCATTGTTTGGAAAGAGTATATATGTGCTTCAACTCTTAGAGGAATACGGATGTATATATGGCATTAATCGCCAGTAATAACCCGTAGATCCATTGCAGAAACGCTGTAATAATTTTTGCTGCGTCTGGTAGCATTACTTTGCTAGTTTGATGATCGTTTACATTTAATTTAAGAAAATGGTGAAATAATTGAAATATTTTATGCAAAATTACGTTCTATTGCGGCAGGTGCGTTTTTCCACAGGTCGTTGTCATCAATAGAGTCAGCGTGATATGTGACTTGTATCGGTTTCAATAATAACACAAGTCGTAAAATTAGATTTGCTATCCAAATTAGCAAGGAGGAAATTATTAAAAATCCTACGCTAACATGGTTGTGGGCAGTGGCAGATTCAATATTAGAATCGCTTGGGTTAGGATTACTTCCTATATGAGTTAGGACAGTGCTTTTTTAATTCCCTTTGCCGGTATGTGAATTTTTCACCTGTTCCAATAGTTTTTATCCAGTTTATGAATTTACTTCCTCGTTATTATCGCATATAACTGATCAGTTGAAGCGTTTGGATTGTAAAAAGTGCGGCTAAGTCAGATATAGTTTAAACTGTGTAGATAAATAAAATGAAAATGTTGGGTTTTCTACAAATACCTGAATTCTATATTTTTATCTACTCCTAATTTAAATTCAGCGATAACATATACAAGGTGTGCCATTAAATGCATACACATCAAAAATAACTGTAAACGTGGTGTTTGATTGAATATTTTTTATTTTAAAAGTGTAAAAATATATTTACAAGTATTATTTTTTTGTTTCGTTTTGTTTTTTGTGTTTTATGGGTATTTCCCCATTTTTATACTTAGTTTTGCTTTATTCGTTCGTATTTCGTTAATTATTCCATTTTACGAGTAAGAAGTATTTGAAGTTCATGTATCGCATATTTTATCGATTTCAGTAAGCTAGTTTATTGGCAGTCATCGGGAATCGTCTTATTTTGCTAAAAAGACTAAATAAAGGATGTTTGAAAAGTTTGTACAGATTCTAAAATCAAACACGCATGATATATGAAGTTAAACTATTCTATTTGCTGCTTTTCGAACGAATTATTTTTTCAAAGAAATATGACAATTTGTACATCTAACCTCATATATCATCAACCATTTGATAGCTGTATAATTGTTCTATGCACAGTAAAATAACAAACATCAATTTTAATAACCACACTAAAACTATCCTAATTCGCCTTCACGAATAAGAGCGCTTCCGTCTACCTTTCCCCAATGGCCTATCGCAGGGGTGTGCAACAGGCGGTCAACGGGCCACAACCCGGCATTAAGTGCACAAACTAGAACAAAAATTTTGGTGTGGCTCAGCCAGATGTCTGAAGTTGTTTATATGGCCCACCGACTAAATATCTTGCACGCCCCTGACTCACCCCAATAGGAATTACCACGTGCTGGTGTACATCATGTGACTCGCTATAAAAACCGAAATCGTAAAAAAATTTGTTCCATAAAATGATACTTTTGTCCGGAACCTTTCACCGACTGGCGTGTTATAGCGTTGGTGTACGCGCTTTCAATTTTATTGTTAAATATTTTCGTTCAGAGCCGCGTACAACAATAGGGGAAACTACGAGATATGTTTGCTAAGTCCTTTGGCCCGTATTATTATAACGAAAATATAGGCTGTCACTTTTATTTGTGCTCCAACGCTTCGTGCGGGAGCTATCATTGGAATTTTGTTCCGAATTATCTTTTTGTAATTTGAAATAATAATACTTTTTATTCATTATTACGTAACAATGACTTGCAATGAATTAGATATTGTAATATAAATACTGCCCAGTTTGCTTGTTGGTGTAACAGTTTCGGTAGCCATTGGAAATAGTCTGTATCCAATAATAAATGACGGAAATTAGGATTTCAAGATGCTTTTTCATTCTGACCTGACGGCCCAAGGACACGATAAATTATTATTTGAGGTCTCCGTTGGACCGCCCTCTCTATTTACTATTCTGAACGTAAGGACAAACACTCCAGTTAGATACTGTTGGAACAATCAAACAAACCTGGAATTTTCTGATTGCTCATTAACTAAGGACGACAGTGTGAGCCGTTTCCATAAGCCAGCGATCATTTGTACATCACCGTCGACGAACGAGTGTTCTGGAACAAGGTCTGTAGCACTGAAAACAATAATGGAATCAGATGAAAGTGTTACTTTTGAGAGCTTTGTGGACGATGAGTATACCGAAATCGACAGTGAGACTACAATTCACAAAACTGAAGAAGCAAAGGCTATTTTGAAAACTCCGGCGTCTACTCCCGAAGAGAATGAATCAGTTTCAAATGTAAAGGACAAAAAGGTCACTTTCGGAGTGAACCGCCATCACCATATTGAAGATGTAATTTCAGAATCTGACGGCGAATATTTTTACGAAGTAGCTACAGCGAATGCAAGCGAAAACGCGTCACAATCACCAGAGATGAACTATGAACTATCCGCAAACAATGATGCGTTGTTAGTTAATAAATCGCACCAGTTCGTGTCATCAGACACCAATATTGCTATATATCGCACCAGCTCAGATCCGAATTTGAAAAAAGCATCAAATTCCAACACAACTGAAGATTTGAGAAGGACTAAATCTAATCAGCGCGCAAAATTATCTACCTCACAATCTTTTGACAACTCGCTGCATCGTTCTTCGAGTGATAGAGTGCTTTCAACCCTTAGTCCTTCCACCCTATCCTCGCTAGAATTTTCAAAAAAGGACAAGAAAAGACGAAGTGTAATCAAGAGGAAAATTTTGAAAATACACAAGGTTTTTAAGAAGAAACCGAAACAGAATTCGTGAGTAAAACTTTGATAGAATTTCAGAATATATATCAGTAGTTTCACTCGCCATATGGCTGGTCTAGTATTGTGGATTTTTGGGATGGTATCCAGTGAAATATCCTATATTGTTTTCTAGGGAGAAATTAAAAAAAATCTAGGTTTTGTTTTATTTTGAATCAAGTTTGATCATCTATTCCAAATTTCTATATCCTATTCAGAAATTTGAAATAGTTTAGTAGGTGTTTCACGGATAGTTAAACCCATACTAACCCTAACCCATGGGTTTTAGCACCCGCACATAGATTGAACCCGTGGATATACGCATGGGTTCAAATGTACATGGGTTCAAATGTACGGTCACCATCTTAAATAGCTAAGCAGCAATTATGAATAGGCAGTCATTTTTATGCAGAATGCTGTTTTCTTATTTTGCGACCTTTGTACTGATTAATATGAGTTTTGGTATTTCCTGATTATTGTTGAGATTAAAAAGTTTAAATAATACGAATACGATACGAATGGTTTGATATCTAGAATTTAGTAGATTTGTACCTTTTAAAATATATCGAATTACAAATTAATGTTTGTTTTGTTTGATAAAGTTATTTTAGTAGAACGTCAAACTTATTATTAAACCTATATTAGAAACCATACTGAGTTCGCCTTTGTGCTTTATATACACAGTAGTGAGTCGGTCTGTTTTGATACATTCACTTAATAATAAATCGCGGGCAGAAATGTTTCACTTCGATAAAGAAAGCCATGCTAATTCCTCGAGGTAAAAATATCACTTGATTAGACCGCATGAGAAAATGAAGCCCTATAGTTTTGATTTTACTCGTGACGAGTTTGCATTAGAGTAATAAACTTTTTACATCTGGTTTACGATTCTGTACTTTAGTCAAAAATATTGTTTCCCTCCTAAATAGTGCAAATAAATTTATATAACTCAAAATTTATTTTTATGACAGTTGTAATATTTTTTCATTATTACTTTAGTCAAAAATATTGTTTCCCTCCTAAATAGTGCAAATAAATTTATATAACTCAAAATTTATTTTTATGACAGTTGTAATATTTTTTCATTATTCTTTCCATCTCAATATTGTCCGCGTAGAATTCAATAAACGTGTACAAGAGATTTCGTGGCCGCTATTATGAGAACATTTTCTCGTAAACAGTAAAATATTAACTAGCTTCGTCACCGGGCTGTTGGGAATTTCAGTAATATTAACCGGAATTTGATGTGTATTCGATAACAACTCGTTACTGCTATCTTTGTCTTTTATTGGGTGTTTTTTTTATATTTTAATTTGGCTGGCCTGTTCGGTACCGATCTACAGATTACCGGAATCAAAGTACATACCGGTAATTGTATTCATTGTTCATTCTCGTTGGTACCGGGCACCAGAAAATTGTGTATTCTTCTTTACTTTTAGTTAGGGTAATCCGCTACGTGTTTTATTTGCATTCATATTCCGGTAACTGGTTAGGTGTGTTTGGTCATTCTGTCCATCTCTCCTTAGTACAAGGTCTTATAGTAATCATTAAGCTCCTTAAGTATCCAAATCTAGGGGCTGGACCTCGGACGCGTATGGTCGTCTGTCACGTAGCTTCGACCCAACGTTTTTTTTCTCGATCATTATTTGGAATAAAATTTCCGTTTGGATTTAAGTTTGCAACTATCTCTGGTAGTGTTCCATTGGTTTACCATGTTGTGGTAGTGGTTATCATTAGTTTATATTAAGTAAACTTATTGCTATTGAGTTAACATCTCATTGCAATGTCTCAACTTCAGTTTGGCTCTAATTTGGTATTTGATTATATTTAGACTATAGGATTTGAATATAAACTTGCGAACCCCTGGACTTTAGTTGCAGAACCACATTCTTGAACCACTGGGCCAGAATGATAAATCAACAAAAAGGGAGAAATAATTACGACCTGTTCATGTGTAATTATTCCAAATGCAGCATATGTCTTCGTTGTCACGAGATCGGTGTATTTGATTGTTAATAGCGCACATTTGGGGACAAATATCGTTAAATTCTGGGTCACATGGATTTGCGAATAGGTGAACCTTGCCCCATTTACGTATCCAACAATCGTGCCACAATCACGTGGTATTGCCGGTCGATCTATATGTGCTTTATTACTCAATTTTATTTATATTCACTTTGCTAATAATTGTATAACAATTGTATCACTTAGTTAGGAAGAATAGCTTTAGCGTTTTAGCGCGATTATGTCTTGAACTTCGTTCGTTTGGATGAAATGGAATGAATGATAAGGTAAAGTTAGCTCATCACCATTGTATTGTATTGTATTGCTCTTTATTTATGTACCTCATAGCTACACTCCCTAGTAATTAACGATCTTAAAAAGAAGCACTTTCCAACCGACGGTAACCCAGATGTGGTATTTCACTGGGGTTCAACCATATTCTATCCCGAGAATTTGAATCTTGAAGCAAAACCAAATACAGTCTGTTTCACAATTGAATTTTTTTTTCGCTGTTTTACGGTGACCAGCGCCAATATGACAAACACGGAAGAGCGGTTTTAAAAAAAGTTCGGCATCATATTGTTCCATCGATTACACCTTCTAATATCAGCTATTTTTCCTCTGTATGGTTGTCTTTTCGATATTCTGGAGCGCAAACTTCTTCCTTTTACCAAAACCAGGTGTACACATTCGTGTGAATATTATTTAAACTAATTTTGCATTTATTTCGTAGTAATTAATTAATGATCTTTTATCAGATGAGTTTTGCCTGATCTCTTATTATGCATAAAAATTCTTTAGTTAGTGTAACGCACAAGTCGCACTTTCGCTTTTGTTAGTTTAATTAGTTCAGGATATGTACATAAAAAATATGTCTAATACCGAAAATATCCCTTCCCTAGTATACAGCCAAAGTCCATCTTGGGAGGGAGTAGTTTCCTCATGGCTGGGAAACGCGAGTTTAAGGGACAGAGTTCAATATATGATTGTGTCGTCAGGTCAGCAATTAATGTGATTTCCCCTCAAGGACATCCGATATCACGTGCGCGCTAGGTCAAAATCCGCACGGCCACAGTGTACATAACGGGGTGTGGCCTTCCCATTTATCACTATCCTAACAATTTTATTTGGATTTTCACCTTTAAGCTAACATTTTCTTAGTGAATAGCATATACAAGTATAATGTGGTTTTGATTAGTATTTTACAGTACGATTTCGGTTTCATTTTTTTTTTTTCAAATCGTATGTGAATTGTTACGTGACAAGTATACTTTTTTATTGAGTGGTAAATCGTCGAGATTGGGACGAAAGTTAATCATGGCTGTGTGTGTTTATACAAAATGGGTATTCTATATTCTGAACGAAATATATACCTTTTTATTTTTTTCTTAAGTTAATTTTCTGCTATACCTCGTCTGGCAAATTCATTCTTTTGTTTAGTGTTTCTATTTTTTAGTTAGTCACGTGATCATTCTTTGTTAAGTAACAATAGCAGTTCACACATCGCCTTAGCAACCCTGGGCGTTAAGATGGACACACGTCTTTGCTGACAAGCTCTCTCTCTATGTAGGTTATAGTTTATTTCCATTGCGGATTGATTGCGATATCCTCCCGAGTATTTACCCACGTACCGAGGGTTAATTTTAATTGAAAATTTTTCATAAAACATTCTCGTTGACGTCACACCTTATTTATTATTCTGCCATCATAAAATTCTGGTTATTGTTTAACTTTTTAGATCACGAGAATATTACGACATGGTCGGTTACTTTTGGCGATTATATAAAAGCCGAATATAAAAGAATTGTAACATTCCGACTGTTAGATGATTGGTCAGTTTGCAGCACTATTCCAGGAATGTGGATTGTGTAGCCTACATATAGTTCATTGCAATACCTTATATTTACTTATCAACGAATAAGAAATTGTTTGTGGGGTTTCAATACACGGATAACTGAAAAAAAAACAACCATAAATTGAGCATCTGTGCTCAATCCTCAATACACCTGCAAACACCGTTAAATCGGATCCGTTCATAGATATACTAACAAATTATATGATGGTTACGTTACTTTTGGTTTTTTAAATTCACCTGAAATATACTTTGAACTTGAAATATGCAGAGTAAATTACTATCTGACAAACAAGTGCCAATATTTGAATATTAATTAAATTGTAAATGCTCCGATTCCGCGACCGATTTTGGTAGTTTTTCTATTTTTAAATCAATTGGCATTTAAAAGCTAAATTACTATGCCCCCAAAGTTAAAAACATATGCAAAATGAGTTGCTTAAAAATCCGCTGTAGATAAAAACCCGACACAAAATGAGCAATGATAGCGAAGCCTCGTTCAGTTTTTTCTTAAATTATTCCATTTTTATAAATTCAATTTTGATAAAATGTAGCCTAATATTAACATAGTAAACTTAAAAATGGGTAACCAGACAGAGAGGACAAATATTTAACCGAAAGTAAGGAATTTTTGTTCGGTCCACTTGTGTAATCATTGTGTGATATAGCTAGGCATGTTATCACCAAAATCATTTGAAGTTTTGCACACATCTAGCAAATTTATGCATGCTTAAAGCGTAGTATGTATCTGTTTTTCCGTTCACAGTTTTACCAATGCTGTTCTTGAAAAAGTACGCGTGTTCGTGGTCACTGCTGTACCCGACCACCACCTTGGGAAAATTTACGAAAAAATTATTTCAAAAGCCGGCAATGATGTGTTGTTAAAACTGCGTTATCGATTTTAAATAGCTATTATAGTACCCGAATAAACATATCGATAATGCTAATTTTTATATTGTTCGGTTTCTATACCAAGGCACATATTATATAATCTATCATTAGTGATGTTTGATTATCGTTATCTACATTTATCTATAAATATCATTTTCTATTTACGTAAAAACCGCGTTTTGCTGAAAATGGGTTCCGCTTGATAAGCTTCATTATGAGGCAATTGTTTACCCCATAATCACGTGATAAAACGTTCAAAAAGTCACAC